ACAGCAGCATGTATCTAGTTCAACAAGAAAGAATGCCCTTTGGACCTGGTTCTTGGAAATGAGGTGGGCCAAGAGGATCACATGTCAGTTGGGGAATATGGGAGGGGCATGGCCGAGGTATTAAATGAACACTTGGCCTCTATTTGCCATCTTAATTATTTGTTGCATCTGCATGTTAACATTTGTGTTGAATTCACAATTCCACCCAGATCCCTGTGTGGCACTCTTTTTTGGTGTTGGTCTTCATTTAAAGAATAGTGTGCCTTTTGATTCCTCCTACCAAAGTATCTGACCTCATACCTTCCTACATTGAAGTTCATCTGCCATGTTTTTGACCAGTCACTCAACCTTTCTGTATTCCTTTGCAGATTCTTTATGTCCTCATCACAACATGCCCTTCCACCTATTTTTGCTCAGTGTAATGAAATATCAGCTTAAATGTCATTGCTCATACACTGACGTTCCCCTTTGTTTATTTGCCCCAGCTTGCTTTAGACAACTCTTTCTTCATAACTTGTATTTGTCCATATTTAAGTTGAGGACATTGGTTTTGAGATCCAAATTAAATTTTAAATTCTGCCACGTTGTGAAGGCAACCCTTTAAAAGATCCCTAATTATAAGCTCTCTTATTATTCCAATCTCATTACATAACACTTAATCTAAAGTAGCCTGTTTGAAGACAGGTTCTGCAACTGTTTGAAGAAACAATCCTTGATGCACTCTACAAATTCATTTTCAATGTTATCCTTACTCATGCAATTTGCCAAGTGAATATGAAGATTATAATCACCCATGACAGTTATAATGCCCATCCTAAATGCCCCACTTATTTCCCAGTGTATGCTTTATTCTACGGTAAGGTAAATTATTGAGCACCTATGGATCATTCCCAGCAGTAACCCTTGCTATTTTTTATTTGCATCCAAACTGATTTCACATCTCTATTACAGCTACATCACTACTCATCACCACACTGATACCGTTCTTTAGTAACAATGCTACCTCGCCTCCATTTCCTTTTCACCTATTTTTTCTGAGCATCAATTTTTTTTTGAATACTGAGTTCACAGACTTGGTCACAGTCATGCAACAACATCTCTGTAATAGTTGTCAAGTTGGATTCATTTATTTCTATACTATTATTCTGTTCTAATCTATTTGTGCCATCAACTCATCCATTTTGTTACAGATGCTAAGTGCATTCAGATAAAGAGCTCTAAGCTTTGACTTTTTAAATTTATTCATTGTTTTGGGATGTAGGCGTTGCTGGTTGGCCAGCATTTATTAGATGCTCCTAATTGCCCTTGAAAAGATGGTGGTGGTGAGCTGGTACTGCCTTTTTGAACTGCTGCAGTCCACCTGCTGTATGTTGACCCACAGTGCCATTAGGGAGGAAATTCCAGGATTTTGACCCAGTAACAGTGAAGGAATGGTGATATCCTTCCAAGTCAGGATGGTGAGTGGCTTGGAGGGGAACTTGGAGGTGGTGGTGTTCCCAGATATCTGCTGCCCTTGTCCTTCTATTTGGAAGTGGTCGTGCATTTGGAACGTGCTGTCTGAGGATCTTTGGTGAATTTCTGCAGTCCATCTTGTAGATAGTACACACTGCTGCTACTGAGCATCAGTGGTAGAGCGAGTGGATGCTTGTGGACGCAATGCCAATCAAGCGGGCTGCTTTGTCCTGGATGATGTCAAGCCTCTTGAGTGTTGTTGGAACTGCTCTGAACCAGGCAAGTGGGGAGTATTTCATCACATGAAAGCCAGACCAGGAAAGATGGCAGTTTCCCTCCCTAAGGATCATAAAATGAACCAGATGGGCTTTTCCTGACAATCAACAATGGTTTCATGGTCATCAATAGACTCTTATTTCCAGATTATTATTAAATTCAAATGCCACCATCTGCCATAGCAGGTTCAAACCCAGGTCTCCAGAGCATTAACTAGGTCTTTGGATTAATAGTCTAGCGATAACACCACTAGGCCATCATCTTCCCAATATTGTGGTTGAGGAGTGCAATTAAGAAATTTACTTAAAATATTTAACATCCTAATTAATTCATTAAACCAAACAGAGATAGCTGGGCAAGTGATATGTAGTAGCTGAAGTACTACACATCACCAAGTATCGATAGATGCCGGTGCCATCCACAGTGACCATATCTGCAACAAATGTCACTGTTTGCAGATCTTCATCTCAGAGTTGATACATTGCAACACATCAGGGAGGGAGAAAGGTACCTGGACAAAAAAAAAAACAAGACACAGATTCTGAAAACTAAAAACAAAAACAGAAATTGCTAGAAAAACTCAGCAGGCCTGGCAATATCTGTGGAGAGAAAGCTGAGTCAACATTTCAGATGCAGAGACACTTCTTCAGAACTGAGATACCCGGACACTGTGATTCAACAGGCTCTGTCAAACCTTTGATTAATTACGTCAAATTTGGTCTGTGGTCACGGACATATAGCGTGTGACTATGAGAGAGATTCTCCCTTCCAGTGTGGACAAGGTTACAGACAGCAGCAAAGCCAGAGATCCCAAAGGCTGTGTTACATACCTAATGTTGATTGTCAGGAAAAGCCCATCTGGTTCATTTTATGATCCTTAGGGAGGGAAACTGCCATCTTTCCTGGTCTGGCTTTCATGTGATTCCAGACCCACAGCAATGTGGTTGATTCTTGACTGCGCATTGAGATTAGGGATTAGCAATAAATTCTGGCCTAGCTAGTGATGCTCACATCCCATGAATGAATAATAACAAAAAAAATCTCCTGATTTAAGCCACTTGTCTAACGAGACTGACTATTGAAGGTTTGGAAGGGAAGTAGAAAAGCAAACGAAATGATGAAAAGAGTGGCATCTTACATACGGGAGTCTCAAAGTCTTCTTTAGGCAAATAAATGGTAAAAGGATGGTACAAGGAGGAGTGAGAGCAATTGGGGAACAAAAGACATTTACAAATGGAGGCTGTAGTATGGATGATTTATTAAGTGAATACTTTGCATCTGTCTTTACCAATGAAGATGCAAGCAAGGACATGTTGACAAAGGAGGAAATTTAGACACTGAAGGGTTTAAAATTGCTAAGGTGTAGGAATGGTACAGACTGTCTGTACTTAAAGTCAATAAGCCACTGGGAACGCTTGAGATGGGTCTAAGGATACAAAGGGAAGTAAGAGTGGCAATTGCAGAGACCCCCATAAATTCTTAGGAAAGAATTGCATTTGACTAATTAACTGTACTTATTTGAAGAGGTAACAGAGAGGGTTGATGAGGGTAATGCTACCGATGAAGTGCACATGGACTTTCTAAAGGCATTTGATTCACCACTGCACAACAGAGATGTAACCAAAATTGTAGCTTATAGAATAAAAGGAGCAGTAGCAAAATGGACTCTACATTGAGTTACAGGAGACGAAGAATAGTGGCTAATGGATGTTTCTTGGGCTGGAGAAGGTTTTGTGGTGACAATCTCGATGGCTTTTTTTTGATTTATTAATGACCTAAACCTTGGTGTACAAGGCACAGTTTCAAAAGTTGCACATGATATGAAACCTGGAAACATTGTGAACTGGGAGTCAGATAGTGTGGAGCTTCAAAGGGGTAAAGTTGCTGGAGTGGGTGCACAGGTGGCAGTTTATGTTTAACGCAGAGAAATATGAGGTGATTCATTTTAGTAGAAATGTCATGGAGTGACAATATTAAATAAAGGATATAATTCTGAATGAGATGTAAGAGCAGCAGTACCTGGGTGTATATTTGCATAAGTTATTAAATGTGGTAGGACAGGTGAAGAAAGTGGCTAATAAAGCATACAGTCCCCTGGACTTTAGGGGCATAGAGTACAAGAGCAAGGAGTTATGCTGAACTTGTATATGACACTAATTTGGTATAATGTCGAGTTCTAGGTGCCTTAGGAAGGATGGTGCACTGGAGAGAGTGCAGAAGTGATAGGAGAGAATTGTTCCAGCGATGAAAAATTTCAGTTGTGAAGATAGGTTGGAGATGTTAGGACTGTCTTCCCTTCAGAAAATAAAAGTTAAGAGGAAATCTGGTAGAGGTATTCAAAATCACATGGGGGCTGGAGATAGAGAGAAACTACTCGTAAAATGGTCAAGCACGAGGAGGTGCAGATTTAAGGTGGCATTGAAACAAAAGCTAAATGAGAAGAACCTTTTTCACACAGTGAGCTTTTAGGGTCTAGAATGCAAAACCTGAGAATGTGGTGACAGGTTCAACTGAAGTGCTCAAAAATGCATTAAAATTTTGTTTGAAAAGATACAATGTGTAGAGTTACAGGGAGAAGACAGAGAATGAGTCAGTGAAATGCTCGGTTGGAATGCTGTTGAAGACATGGTGGGCTGAATGGGCTACATCACTGTAATAGTAATTCTGACAATATTTGACAGCATCCAGGAAAAGCAGCTGATTGACACCCCATCCATCAACTTAATCATTGACTTTTTCCACCACCAATGCAACAGTGTTATCTATGTACAAGATGCAATGCAGCAATGCACCAAGGCTCCTTTGACATAACACCTTCCAAATTCTCAACCTCTACCACTTAGAAGGACAAAAGCAGTAGAAGCCTGGACATATCACTACTTAAAAGTATCCCCACTATCCTTACTTGGAATTATGTTGCCATTCTTTCACTGTCACAGGATCAAAATCTTGTAACTGCCTTCTTGGCAGCACTGCAGATATACCTGCAGCAGATGGACTGCAAAGGCAGTTACGAATGAGCAATAAATACTTCCCCTAATCTGCAGTACAAATGTCCCATGAAATAATTTTGAAAAATGATTTTTTTGGTATTACCAATCTTTAGCTGACTTTAAACTTATTTAATAAACTTTAACCAAACACAGACTTTACTATTTGTTTCAGACATGTAGAAAGTAATAGTCAATGTTATAAAAATGAAAACCAGTAAGTTAATGTTCCAAAATATTTGTGTTTATTCTTTCAAAATATATTTTATCTTCTCATTGCAGATGGTATCTGGAAAAATTCGAAGATTATCCTAAGTCAAGAAAAGCTTTGATACCTTTCCTGTATTGAAATGGCAAATACATATAAATGGTTAGATTCTCCACTGGAAACTAGATCATTTTGTATCGATCAGTGAGAAGTTGATGTGCGTACCTCTGAAGTCAGAACTAAATGCACCATAAAAGCTATGACTTGTCCACTTCAGTGTAAGAACCCATTTAACTGCAGGAACAGTATCAATCACTTCTGCACAATTCCTCTGACCTGTTTAGTCAACTTTTACAAGCATGGAATCTTATTTCTTCAAGTTTAAATAATTTCAAGAGGCCTTTTAGCAAAAATAGAAAATATTTTTGTCATTTTTCATTTCGATCTTTTTATTTTCCTTTCTTAATGCAATCCCTCCCCCACTGACGCTATTTCAATTTTCACCTGTTTTACTATTCAGTCTGATTTTTCTCACTGGCATTCCCTGGTTCAGGGTCTCTGTTGTTCATTGAAACACTTTAAATCTGGTTGAGAAATTACACAGTTGCTTGCTCCATTCACACAAATCAAGATTTTTTGCTAAGTGAGCTGTTTTAATTTACAGCAAATTTCAGTGCAAAATCCCATCCAATGCCTCTGACCAGATGTAATTAACTAACATTTTCACTGCTGAGACTAAAATCTGGTCCGATGAAATTCTTGAAATGGATAGTATAACTAATTTGCTGCCTTTTCTTATTAAATGATGCTTTCCAATATAATTGGCACAGTGCTAAGTTATATCATCACCCCATCTTCAACAGTAGGATGAAACTATCAGATAAAAATGGAATTCATAGATCAAAATTATGTATGCTGAATAACAGAACAAAAATATTGCCTGGGAATTTGTTACAATCTGACTTTATTCGGCTTGACAGGGGGTTGATTTTATTGAAAGCCATTATTATCTTGCGACCATACATCTGCAAAACACAAATAGGTAATTTATCCCCTCAAGGCTGCTCCGACAATCGAGGAAATTATGGCTGATCTGCGATCTAATTCTACACTTACATGCAGAAATTTGCTATCCAAACTGTCCTGCTACTTCATAACTTTCCTGGTTTCACATCAAACTTTTTGTATGTTGAGCAATATCTATAAATAGATTTTGACAAAACTGTATATAACTGCACCAGTAGCAACCATATCTCCTCAGCTTTAATTTTGTATTCATCGCCTAACTGCTGTTCAAATGATTTTAGCTATCTTCCCATGGGTATTTAAGTTGTTTGTAATAAATATGGAGGTTAACAGCTATAAGAAAATATTGTCTTTCTCATTTGCTACCAGCAGATCTTTAGCTATTCCTAATACAATTCAAATCCTTTATCTACATCATGCTCAATAGTTTCCCTAACATTAGTACCAAATAGCCTGCAAAGTAACAATTTCACCAAATATTCCATGCCACCTGCTTTTATCATTTAAGATTAAAATAATGCAAGACCCTGGCCACCTGAAACATAAATAGAGATACTAGCAGAGAAACATCTCTCTCTCCGTAGCTGCTGCTGTACCTGATTTCCAGCAGTTCTTTCAGTTTTTGTTATGCTGCTATACTTGCTGTTTATTCCCAGCATTTTCTGTTTTCATTTTTCTCTTAGCCTTGGTTCCATTAAAGTATCATGGTAGCAATTGTGTGGCTAAATCATATTAGACTCACCACAACAGTAACTCTGAAAAATGAAGTGCTTTACCTTTCTCGCCAACTTCACATTCTGGATACTTTCAGGTCAGTTATGACCACTCTCCCATTACAAACTGGAACCACTAGATGGCAATAATCCACATGCAGTTTTACATGTTGATATGTTGCAATTTACATCCCAGGAAACAATCTATTATCAGTTCTAATTTGTTATCTTATTGCACCACAAGCAAACAGGATACTGCAAAGAAATCAATGGAATTTTTTTTTTCAGAAATAATTAATGGGGAACAAAGAATCACAGTCATAGGTCGCCTTGCTGCAAAATAATATCCGAACATTGTGATCAGTGTAAAATTTTGCTTCTTGCCACAATAAAAATATTTTTTTTAAAGTTTGTCAAAAGCAGATTTGAATAAAACAGGCTATTTGTTTTCATTTCCTTTGTCACCATTAGACTTGACTCTTCTAACCACTTCTGTTTGGTGTACCAATGTCTGCCCTCTGTAAATGTGAAATCATTCAAAACTGCTGCTTACATCCTACTCGTGCCGAGTCCCATTCCCCTATCATCCTTATGCTCACTGGCCTTCACCAGCTCCTGGTCAAGCAGCATCTTGATTTTTTAAAATGCCTGTATAACCTTGCTCTCCCTATCTCTTTCTTCCACCAAGTCAACAATTCTCTGCGATATCTGTGTTCTGCTAATTCTGGCCTCTTGAACACCCCCAAATTTAATCACACCACAGTTGGTGGCTGTATCTTCAGCTGCTGAGGCCCTAAATTCTGGAATTCCTTCTACAAATCTCCCTACTTCTCTTATTTAAAACATTCATTAAAATCTACTTTGTTGACTAAGCCTTTGGTCACCTGCCCAGACATCTCCTTATGTGGCTCAGTGTCAAATTTTGTTCAAAGCCCCTATTAAATGCCTTTGGGTGATTTAATTCATTTGAAGAACCCACATAAATACAAGTGGTGTTGTAAGCAGTGCTGGCATTGTGGAATTCCTTCCAGTAAATGATCTCAAAGCATAATCCTCATTACCTGAAACTGAACAATCTCACTTTCATTCTGGACTCCGATGGGTACATAGAGAATCTCACAATTCTCTTTCCAAGGAAAGGGGTGGACTTAAGTGGCGAGGGGATAGAATTTGTGGTGGGAACCAAAATCTTTCCAATATTAAGCTGAAGGAAATTCTGCTCCTCCAAATTTGGAAGTGGAGAGGAAACAGACAGGTCAAAGAGGCGGGGATGGAGCCAGTAAAGGTGAGTGTAAGTGGGGAGGTAGGGAGGAGATAGGTCAGTCCAGGGAGGACGGTCAAGGGGGTGGGATGAGGTTAGTAGGTAGGAGATGGGGGTGCGGCTTGAGGTGGGAGGAGGGGATAGGTGGGAGGAAGAACAGGTTAGGGAGGCGGGGATGAGCTGGGCTGGTTTTGGGATGCGGTAGGGGGAGGGGAGATTTTGAAGCTTGTGAAATCCTCCCACTTCCTACAGACAAAGGGGGTGGCCATGGGTACCTGCATGGGCCCAAGCTATGCCTGCCTCTTTGTAGGTTACATGGAACAATCCCTCTTCCGTACCTACACTGGCCCTAAACCCCACCTCTTCCTCCGTTACATTGATGACTGTATCGGCGCTGCCTCGTGCTCCCACGAGGAGCTCAAACAGTTCATCCACTTCACCAACACCTTCCACCCCAACCTTAAGTTCACCTGGACCATCTCTAATACCTCTCTCCCCTTCCTGGACCTCTCTGTCTCCATCTCGGGCAACCACCTAGAAACCGATATCCATTTCAAGCTCACCGACTCCCACAGCTACCTAGAATACACCTCCTCCCACCCACCTTCCTGCAAAAATGCCATCCCCTATTCTCAATTCCTTCACCTCCGCCGCATCTGCTCCCAGGATGAGGCATTCCACTCCCGTACATCTCAGATGTCCTCGTTTTTCAAGGACCCCCAACTTCCCCCCCCTCAGTGGTCAAGAACGCCCTCCACCGTGTCTCCCGCAACTCATCCCTCACACCCCGTCCCCGCAATAACAACCAAAAAAGAATCCCCCTCGTCCTCACGTAGCACCCCACCAACCTCCGGATCCAACGCATCATCCTCCGACACTTCCGCCATCTGCAATCCGACCCCACCACCAAAGACGTTTTTCCCTCCCCACCCTTATCTGCTTTCCAGAGGGACCACTCTCTCCGTGACTCCCTTGTCCGCTCCAAACTCCCCTCCAACCCCACCACACCCGGCACTTTTCCCTGCAATCGCAGGAAGTGCTACACCTGCCCCTACACCTCCTCCCTCACCCCCATCCCATGCCCCAAGAAGACTTTCCACATCAAGCAGATGTTCACCTGCACATCTGCTAATGTGGTATACTGCATCCGCTGTACCCGTTGTGGCCTCCTCTACATCGGGGAAACCAAGCAGAGGCTTGGCGACCGCTTTGCAGAACACCTACGCTCGGTTCGCAATAAACAACTGCACCTCCCAGTCGCAAACCATTTCAACTCCCCCTTCCATTCCTCTGACGACATGTCCATCCTGGGCCTCCTGCATTGCCACAACGATGCTACCCGAAGGTTGCAGGAACAGCAACTCCTATTCCGCTTGGGAACCCTGCAGCCCAATGATATCAATGTGGATTTCACAAGTTTCAAAGTCTCCCCTCCCACTATCGCATCCCAAAACCAGCCCAGCTCGTCCCCGCCTCCCTAACCTGTTCTTCCTCCCACCTATCCACTCCTCCCACCTCCTACCTACTAACCTCATCCCGCCCCCTTGACCTGTCCGTCCTCCCTGGACTGACCTATCTCCTCCCTACCTCCCCACTTACACTCACCTTTACTGGCTCCATCCCTGCCTCTTTGACCTGTCTGTTTCCTCTCCACCTATCTTCTCCTCTATCCATCTTCTATCTGCCTCCCCCTCTCTCCCTATTTATTTCAGAACCCCCTTCCCCTCCCCCATTTCTAATGAAGGTTCTAGGCCCGAAATGTCAGCCTTCCTGCACCTATGATGCTGCTTGGCCTGCTGTGTTCATCCAGCTGTACACCTTGTTATCTCAGATTCTCCAGCATCTGCAGTTCCTACTATCTAGACTTTAATTCAGTCTACTTCATCATTATTCTCCATTTTGACCATGTTTGTTGCTGTTTTTACTTGCTACAACCTACTGCTTTTTGTCAGTTCTGTTGCCTTTACATCTGAGCTCCCTTTAAAGTTCTCATCCCCTACCACTCTAACCCACCCTCAACAACATCAGGAATTCTCACTGCAAGAATTTTGTCCCTATCCTGCCAGGATGTAAGTTGTCCGAATTGTACAGGTCTCACCGCCCCAGCACCATTATGAATGCTGCAGAAATCTGATCTCTTCAATGCTAGTTTTCCAGCAACATGTTTGCTCATTCGCTTATCCTGTTACTGAGCTCACCAACATGTGGAACTGAGAGCTATTCTGAGATTCCTGCTTTAGGGTGCGGCATTTCAATATCCTTCCTACCAATGAAATCTGCTTTGAGGACCTCATCCTTCTTCTGACTAAAGTCACTGGTATTGAAGTGGACCACAACATCTGGCTGTTCACCTCCCCCAGAAGAACGGTCTGCAGTCATTCTATTGGCAACTTTGACCCTGGCACCATCAAGGCAAAATATCATCCTGGAGTCATGTTTATGGCTGCAGAAATGCCTGTCTGTTCCTCTAACAAATCCTCTGTCAATACTTTTCTGCCACTTCTTCCCCTTTTGTACAGTTGAACCATTGTTGCCACTGTCTTGGGTTCTGACTACATCCTCTGGCAACCCATTGCCTTCACCAATATCCAATGCAGAAAACTGTCTTGTTAGTAAGATTGCCCCAGGGGTCTACTGTACTGCAAGCCTGGTTCTCTTGGATTGTCTGGGTGTTACCAATTCCTTATCTGTCTGTACACCACTAAACTGTAGTGTGACCATCTCCCCAAGTGAGCTACCCACATGATTCCCTGCCTCATGGATGCATAAGCCACCACATGAGTTTCAACACCCAACGCTCTTGCTGGTGGAGATGCTGATACTTCCTGTTGATGTGTTCATCATGGGGAGACAGTGCGTCTATGCTTCCCACATTTCCCAGGGTGTACACTCTACTTGACCGACCTGCTCTGTCATTTTTTAATCTGGACTGACTATTTATTACAAGTAGAATGGCTTACTAGAAACTTGTCAACAGTTCCTTCCACTGAATTGACATGAGCCAAGTACTGAATGATAAAGAAAGCAAATAAAAAACGGGGAAAAAGACACTCCTCCACACTTTGCCCAACTCACCTTTCACTCAGCAAACTCAATCTGCTAGAAAATTGGCACTCCATTTGCAGGTTGCACAGGGTCCACCGTAGTGCAGTCCAAGAGCTAGACTGAACTGATTTAGCGAAAACTAATGAGATAATCTTAAATACAGCTTCTTTACTCTGTCTACAGCTGGAAGATGCTTACTTTACTTTTGCTAATTCTTAGCTCATTAAAAAACAGTTAAATGTTAGCTAGAAACCACATTTTTAGAAAGATATTGACACTCAATGAGTCACCCAGATTTGAAAAGTATCCAGTCCACTTGTATTTGTCCTCTGGAGCTACAGTGCAAAGATCAGACTGAACCAGTTTACATAATTAATAAATCAGTTACTTTCTGGTAGAACTTATTGAAAACTGAAAAAAACTCACTTCACTTTCTTACCTTACTTTTGTCTTGGTTCAGCAGAAACCAGTTAAATACTAGCTACAAATATAATGACAAAGCAGCCTATGCAGAAATAAAATACTGCAGACACTGGAAATTGGATACAGCAAATGTGAGAAATATTCAGCAGGCCAGGCAGCATCTGTGAAGAGAGGCTGATTTTGCTGGCTGTTGCAGCAGGAGTCCTGACGACAACTCTGAAAGTGGTGTTGGAGGGTGGTAATGAGGAGTGGGTGGGTGTCAGGTGGGATTTGCCCCCAAGAGCTGCCAACCAGTCACAGGACAGGCAACTCAGCATTTTCATCAGGATTGGTAGTCATTGCTGTGACTGAATTTGAAAGATGACGATGCATTTGATGGATGGCACTCTCACAACCAAATAAATGGTGCCTGGGGGCACAGGGATCAGTCAGACCAACCCCATCTAGTGAGAAGCCTTGGTGAGGGAAGATGGCACCATTTCTGCAGGGATAACCATTGCCACTGGGGATCCACATTTGCTTCCATGGGGGCTAAGGCAATGTCCCAGTGAAACTCAAGAAACAATGTGGCATGGTGGCTCAGTGGTTAGCACTGCTGCCTCACAGTGCCAGGGACCCTGGTTCAATTCCAGCCTCAGGTGACTGTCAGTGTTGAGTTTGCATGTTCTCCCCGTGTCCGTGTGGGTTTCCTCTGGGTGCTCCAGTTTCCTACCACAGTTG